GGTGGCGTTCCTTCCCCCCCCCCTAGCGCTCCAACAATACTGTGTAATGTCTATTATTTAATTAAATACGGAGCTTATGAAAGTGGCGAAGGCGTGGCTAGCCGTTGGCAGGGGCAACCGCCGTCCAATGAAACTGCAGCCCTTGGCGAAGGCGTGGCTAGCCGTTGCCAGGTCCAATGAAAGCGGCGAAGGCGTGGCTAGCCGTTGCCAGGGGCAACCGCCGTCCAATGAAAGTGCGTATGGGCCAAAGTCCACACACACACACAGACAGACAGACATGAACGATTTTATATATATAGATAGATTACACGAAGCTCCGTTTCCACTAATTTATTCATAACGAATCTATTAATAGCTGTTCAGGCGAGTGAGACATGGAGTTAGAGTGAAGTTCAATAAAACGCCCTTGTTTAACCAGACAGGAACCCATTGAGATGTTTAGTTACAAATATTGCTATCTGTTATCTGTATAAGCAGAATAAGCCCCTTTTGCATATTTCATACCATGACATTATCGATCCAAAAAACACTGAATCTCATCAAGAACATGGAACGAAAACTGAAGAGTATGCGTGGACAATGACTGGATGCGTATGGGGAAGTACACTGAGAGACAGAAAGAGAAACCCACAGATCAGAGACCATGCACAATTTAATTCTGCATACGTCACGAATTATATAAGCAGGAAATCGTGTGGAATGACCCTGAGGCTTCAGCGGGGTGGGGCCCCCTTCAGCACCCCCCCCCCCCTCCAAGCTACTGGGCTGTACTGCAGGGCTATGTGCCTGCTGTGCGTGTATCTTGTCAGACATATGGAGCGGTGGTGCAGTGGTTAGCACAGTGTGCTACGAACCCGCCAAGTTCAATTCCAGGTCACGCTAACACCAGTGGCGAGTGGATATCTGAACCCATCTTGGCCCTCTCCTCGGTCACCTGAGCCTTAAAAATTAGTCCCGCACATAGTGCAGAGTGGAAACATTAGGGCTGGTGAGGCAAATGTGGCCAGGCATGGTGCTCTTTGCCACGTTACCCCCTCGAGCGCCGTGCTGGGGTGCCACGGTGATGAGATGTTCACTACCTCGCCTGGTATGGAGGAGGTTGTTGGTTCGATCCCGAGCCTGATGCCTGTATAGTTGGAGTTTGCATGTCTCTCTCCATGGTTGTGTGGATTTTTCTCCGGATCCTCTGGTTTTTCCCTCCACATTTAGAAACAGGCATTTAGACTATTTGGCTGCCGTAAATTTGCACATGATAAGCCACTTCTTTGAGCTATCACTTGTGGCCAGGTTGCTTCCTCAAAAAGAGCTGTATAGCTCAGTGGGCCTTACCTGGTACAATAGAAAAAAGTTTAAATACGTTCTCATTAACAACAACAGTTGGCGCAACAGCATGTGTAGGCGACATGGTTGAATATTTATGTTTGTGTCAGACAGCCAATATTGAGTCTTTGAATATACAATTGCCTCCAGAACAACAGTGGTAATGGTCCCTTGCTACGTATTAATCTGGATCATCATTTTTCTCAGCTGAACGCATGTCGGTGAGTATAAGTTACAACAGTTATTTGGAGCGACGCTTTAAAACGCCCACAAAACTCACAGCAAAAAGGCTCGGCTCGCATGAGGCTAAATGTGTTTCTGTGTTAGGATTGAGCAACATCAATTCACTTGTAAGTCGATATTTTTTTCTGCCGTCGATGTTTTGCCAAAACGCTCATCAGAAATGTGTTGAGCCCTGTTGCCTTGGTTAAATACTTGTTTGCAGAAGCCCTTTACAAGATATGAAAGCGATTGTTGACCCTTCACTATGCACTTTTGTGGATCAACAAAGCAAAAGCACGTCCCCTCCCCCCCATGTTCAATTTCTTCATGAACAGTGATAATTTTCATTGACAGTTACGAGCCAGTGGTGGACATTCCACATATCTATGACGGGGACCGTTATTCCCACGACAAAACTGCTGTTGACGTTGTAAAAAAAAAGTGCCGCTCAATTTATACAATTATAAAAGCACTAACGCCGTGTAGATGGAGCATTGAAATCAGCTCCTGGGCAGGTGGTAGGTGGATTGATGTATCGCTGCATTGCAGCGCCTTGGTGAAGCCTCCATCCAGCAGTGAATTGACCATGGCTGACGACGACGATGAGTCAAGTTGACCTCAGGGTGGAATTTGAACCTTGTAAGCTTCAGACTGCGAGATGAGCTCTCTACCCAGCTGTGCCATCTGGCCCGATGTGACTGCCAAGAGAGCCATTAGGATGATGGAAGAGAATGTTAAATTAAACAAGTGTCTACATTTACCTGCGAATGTGTGCACTGCGTCTCTCGCACAGTGGCGTGAATTGTAAGACTGGAGGCACACACCGCCCAGTCGGGAGGGATAGGGTGCCCTTACACAGTCAAATATAGCTTTAACAACTCTGTTAAACGCTAAACAGAATGAGCAGCGTTGTGGATTAGCTCCTGTTGTCCAATGCGGACGACTTTGTCGTTCGCTGTGACCTTCCAGCAAGTTCAAACACGTGGCCCCTCTGTCCTGAAATGGGATATTTTCTTCGCCTGATGATTGCAGGCCGATTTGTTTACCGGAAAATACGGCAAACACACACAACCGGTGCTAATGTTTACATTGGGAATAATGCTTAACCGATGCAATAAGCTCCTTTATGAAATGCCAGGCTTATAGCCCCCATGACAGGGCGGATGAGCGACTCGTGAAGGTGTTCGGATGACATGGCTGCGTGACGCACCGAGTTCCTCACATCACGTTCATTGTTAGACGTTTCTATATGGTTCACCGGTTTTAGCCAGGCTTTTTTTCACGCGGTTACTGATAAAATGCTAAAAAGAATACCCCAGTTGTAATGATATTCATCATCATCATCACGATCCACGGGCAGATAGCTCGGGAGGTGTCCACTGCACATGTTATGATTTGTTTCCACTTTCCTCTGTCTTGTGCCAATATGCTGAAGTAGTGCCACATCTATCTGGCACCAATCCCTGATGATGTCGTCGTCAAGTCATTCTCTGTTAAGTCTTTCTCTCTTTCCAATTCCAAATGTGTCCAAATCGTGCCAGTTTCCTTCTCAACACATTCCTGCGGAGGGAGCTGGTAGGAACGTTGGGTTGCTCGGTCAATGGCCAGGGTCAACGGCGGCGTGGTGTATTCCGCAAATATGCCCGACTGTGAGGGCGGGCACAAGCCGGCGTGAGTAGGTTAAACGTTGCGTTTTATAAGGGCACCACGGGGTGACCAGCCCCTCCCCACCCAGCCCCACCCCTCCCACCCCCCACCCAGCCCCACCCTCCCCACCTCGCCCCTCCTCACCCTCCCCTCCCCACCCTACCCCTCCCTCCCCACCTAGCCCCTCCCTGCACGACGGACGGACACAATAATCCCCTGTGGGCTGGTGTAACCAGGAGGTTCTTACCAGTATAACTGCCTGCATCGTCAGGTCTTCTTCTTCTGTGTGCAAGCTTTTTCTTACTGACACGTTGGTCACTCTTTGGGTCCAAGCTTAGATGAAATATCTTTCTGTAGAAATCCATTTCGAGTGCCGATATCTTATCTCTCTGATATTGACACGTAATAACCTCACAGACAGGCTCGCTGTCTGTGAGCAGCTGGCAATGCATCAGCATTGATTCAAGCAGAGTTGAACAACACTTTAATTTGGTGATGCTGCTGCTGCGTTGGCGGTGGTGCACACGCAGAATGAACAATACAGACTCAACACAATTGCGAATAATACTGTGACCTTAATAAAATATATATAGAATAGGCGACGAAGCACGTCTTATGATGGGTAACTGCTCAAAATGTGTGCTTAGTATATATTTTTACTCTTGAGACCAGTGTTATTGGCGAATGTGTTGAGTTTTTAAAAAAACTGATTCAAGCAAAGTAAGCAAGCCTGACTCTGCTGCTGCCGATGAGACGGTTAATGTCGAAACGGGCCGAGAGCCGTGTTTGTTTGAGTTCAACCAATTAAATTAAAGTAAATCACGACGTTTCGAACGCAACACAAGCGCTCATCATCAGGTGGAAATGGGGTAAAACACATAGCGACAAACTGCATGGAGGCAAATACAGCAAGAAGATGGGAGACGAGAAACTCAACAAACCTTAGAAACACAATGTGATGCAAAACCAGTCGGCCAACAACACAGTTAGACACTAACCTGGTTGACCACGTATTTCAAAAGACTGGTACATTTTTTGTGTTCATCTTCTGGGCTGAGCATACCAACGTAAAACAGAGGACACGGACTCGTGAACAGACACGAGGCACATATACAGGAAGACACACAGGGAAAGATGTTTTGGGCAGCCCAGAGGGACAACCAGAGCAACATCACACCAAGAGACATACACACATGCAGAGGCACACACAGAAAGACGCCTGGAGGAAAAGCGTACAGGTTAGTGTCTAACTGTCTCAAATAAAACACATTCCTGCGGAGGGAGCTGGTAGGAACGTTGGGTTGCTCGGTCAATGGCCTGCAGGGTCAACGGCGGCGTGGTGTATTCCGCAAATATGCCCGACTGTGAGGGCGGGCACAAGCCGGCGTGAGTAGGTTAAACGTTGAGTTTTATAAGGGCACCACGGGGTGACCAGCCCCTCCCCACCCAGCCCCACCCCTCCCACCCCCCACCCTGCCCCTCCCTCCCCACCCTCCCCTACCAGCCCTTCCCCACCCTCCCCTCCCCACCCAGCCCCACCCTCCCCACCCAGCCCCTCCCCACCCTCCCCACCCAGCCCCTCCCTCCCCACCCAGCCCCTACCTGCACGACGGACGGACACAATAATCCCCTGTGGGCTGGTGTAACCAGGAGGTTCCTACCCAGTACCATTCTGATTCTTTCTGCGATGGGGGGAGAAGGGGTTGGTGGTGGGGGCTATTGCGTCATCGCGCGCGCCGTGACGTCACCGGGCGCACGGCGACTATAAATTGCGGCCGCCCGCCGGCAGAGCGCCTCAGTGCGCAGTAGCGAGAGCAGCAGCAGCAGCAGGAGCCGCCGCCGTCTTCTTCAGCATCGTCGACGCCGACTCCGTTTGCTTTGCGTTACGTGCGTCGTCTCTAGAACGTTCTCCCACACAACCATCCACCCCCACCCCCGCTCGGGCACTTCGGGAATCTACGTGTTAAATTTTTTTTTTAAACCATTTGACTGCATGCAAATTAACGAGCTTTTTACAAAAAAAAAAACCCACTACGCGATCGTGGACAATTGTCGGCACGTATTTCTACACCCAGCGAGTTGTAGAGGATTGGTGATTATTCATCTATACATTTTTTTTCTCTTCCAGGGCCGCGATCGGTGGGGTTTTGTTAGCGCTGTCGCAGCGTTCTCGTGTCTCGTCGGGAATATTTAAATCTGCGTTTTGTATTTGTCGCTATTTTAAAAAAAAATATCTACCGTGCTCGGCTACGCTCGCGTTTTTTTCATTGTAATTACAATTTATACGCAATTATAATCGCCTATCACGCCCTGCATTTAATATTAAATTACAGGCGCTACCAACTCGCGCGATCAACGCACCGAGGAGAGGGGGGGGGGTTGCGTTGGGATTACCTCAAAACCAAATCGCTTAAATTGAATCGCAACACCTAAACAACCGCTTTAAAAAAATTCTCAACAATAAATAAAAAAACCAACTCAACCGAGCCATGAAGACCAAGGTGGAGGTGTGCCCCTACGACTGCCAGCCCAAAGACGCCGACGACTTGGCCGAGTGCAAGGGCGTCCCCCACCGCCGTGCGGACGGAGTGGACTCGTCCACGCACGGCCAGGCGTGGCTCTGGTGCCGCGAGTTCCTCCCCGGGGCGTGGAAGCGCCTCCCCGAGCACAGCCTGCGGCTCTCCGTCATCAGGTGGGAGGGCCAACGAGAGGCTAGTGGGCGGGGTTTAGGGATGTGGGAAGAGCAATGAGGTGGGTGATCTTGGGAGATCTTGGTTCTTTGGGTAAAGTCACGTTAGAAGGGATAGAGTGATGGGAGCCAGATGTGTGGGATTGGGTGGCAAGAGGCGGATTTTTATACTGGTAGGAACGAAGTGGACCAGACCACCAATAGATTAATGTGTCCGTCCGTCCGTCCGTCCGTGGGATGGGTGGTGTTGAGGGTGGTGTTGGAAATGAAAGACTACGAGTCTTTAAATCTCACAGCGTTTCTTGTCAAAACAAACACTTTTAATTAACGTTACACTAGAATACAGTAATTTTTTCTTTAACTCCTCTATACCCGGTCGATATCTCTGTACCGGTACTAAGTATTATTCCTACCAGCCCACCCCGCAGGGTCCTGTTTTTATTATGTTTTATTTTTTATTATTTTATTGCTTCCCTTCTACGTGACTTTACCGAAAGAACCAAGAAGATGAATCCCTGCAGTCACGAAAGCTTTAAATCGAAAGAGGTGGGAGATGCCAAAATAAATTTGATTAAGGGGTGGAGGGGTGGTCTCTGTTATGGGTGGTTCAAGGGGAGGGTGGGGGGGAGGTTAAGGGGGCGTGTCGGCAGGTCCAGGGTGCTGAATATGGGCAAAGTTTTGGTAAACATTTAAATGGGTGTGGCCAGTGCCAACGTGTGGGAGGAGCCAAGGACTTGATCCGTTTGTTGCACGGAGGTGCTAACGAGGATTGCGTTGGGGGGGGGGCAAGAAGCCTTGTGGCCTGGGCCAGTACTGAGTGGGCGTGGCAAGGAGAGGTGTGTGGGAGGGGCTAGAGGTTTAGACTGGGTCTCGTGGTGAGGGCATGGGAGGTTAAAGGTGCCAGTGGGTTGGGGGCAAGGAGCGTGTGGGCAGGGTCAGTAGAGGTTATGGCAGGGGCTAAGGGGAGGTTTGAATTGGGCCCGTTGCTGAGTGATGGGAGCCAGATGTGTGGGATTGGGTGGCAAGAGGCGGCTTTGAGTTGGGTGTCCATGGCTATTGGCCGTTCAATGCGCATGTGGGTTGGAACTGTGGTGAGTGGGGCTAGACTACGTGTCTGATTAGGCCAGGTTTATTTGTCTATCCGGGTGAAAACTCAAGAGAACAGGATAGTCTTCATTTGTAAGAGTGAACTGGGTCACCAAAATTATAAAAGCAAAACAAATAAAGTACAGCAAGCAACGAAGCGTAAAGAATGTGCGTGTAGTTACAGGCATGACCAGGCAGTAGCATAGTTGTGTAGGAAGGGCCAAAGGGAGGTTTGAATGGGGGACCAGGACACATCTTTGGTAAGGGATTTTGTCAAAGGTTCAATGGGCGGTAACAGAGCCACGTGGACATGACCAAGGCCAAGTGGGCATGCCTAAGAGGATGGTGTAGAAGAAGGTGATAGGTGGATGAGTAGGCTCGGCCAAATACTGTGGTGGGGTGGAGGGGGGACTGGAGAAGTTGTGTGTTTGTAGGGCTTGAGTTGAATTGGTGGGGCCTAGAGGCATTGGAGGGGAAAGAGGGGGAGGGTTTGATATATGCTAAGGCAATGTGAGATGTGTATTTATAGGCAGCCTCGGTCGTATTTGATGTAAGCGGAGATTTGTAATGGAACCGGTCTGGCCAAGTCTGGGTGGATGATAAACTAAAGAGGTTTAAATAGCTATGTGGATGGAGCCAGATAGATCATTTGGGCAGGTCCCGGGTGCTGTGTGTGGGGCATGTGTACCGGGCAGTGTGGGCAGTTTTGAGCAGAGTGAGTGGTGCTTAAGGTCAAATTACATAATACGAGCGGTCCGGGGATGAGGTGTGGGCGGAGCTCTATCGTGTGGGTGTGGGCAATATCATATGGGCAGAAATTAAGATATTGGTGGGGCATAGGCCAGATCAAATCAAGACCAAACCCAAAACACTAATTTTACTTTGGGTTTCCTTATCTTAATAACAATCTTGAACATTTGATGTCAACCAGTTTGTTGAGTAAGGTGGGTTTATAAAAGCTTTTTCTACTGTTGGCCACAAATATATTATCTGATCCAAGAAAAGACGATTATATAACAAATAGCGTTATGCCTGATAAAAAAAATATCTATTTAATGAATTGGAAACTTAATCTCCTCAACACTCTACAATTAAGAGATATTCTCATGTTGAAATTTCTGCACTGGTCGTTAAGAAAGTCGTGCAATGCAAATCAGAGTAGTTGGGCTAGATGATGCCCTCACTAATGCCTTTCACCGCAGCATTGGAAAATATTTTCCTGAATTTCTGAAGGAAGCTAAGAATTTCGTTGTGAGGTTAAGTCACACACCACTGAATATAAGAACAAAGCAAATAAATCTCAGCTGTAATAAGGAGCAGGGGGGGTTTGATTGGGTGAGCCATGTGTACAGAATGTAAGAGGTTAGAGGTTACGGAGGCAGGCACTGTGAGTGGGACTCGCGAGTTAAGCGACCAAGGGGACGACATAAAGTCACGTGGTGGGATATTGTAAAAGCATGACCTTGTATATTTCAGGGTTTGGCAGGCGGAAGCGAGAAATGGTGGAGTGTGTTGGCTGGCTTCAAGGGCGCCTGGTCATGTTAGCATTTCGTTCTTCAGTGTTGTTGATAATGACCTCATTTATTTTTGTCTGCGGTGATGGATTTCTTATCTCGGATTCAAGTGTGCGTTTGAAAAATAAATGTCCTAACCTCCAATAGGACCCCCCCCCCCACTCTCTGAGCACCAAGTTCATTGAGAGCAGAGCCGACAGGAGACTGCGTTGTTGATGAACGAGTGGGCACACACTCACTGGGGTTAAGTGAGGACTGGCCACATTCCTGACCGTCTGCCGAGGGACCAGGCTTGGGATTTCGTGGAATTGTTTGTTCCCTTCGCACATGGGGCTTGCCCCCACCACATGCTGATGACCCATCCTAACTTGATACACAGAGCCCCTGAACATGACTGGGGAACTAACCCAATCGTGAGCAATCTGTTCCTTAATAATAGAATGCAACTTGTGTTGCATTGGGTGATGCTATTGGCAAATCCAGTCGTTTACATTTATTTATCCCCACAAATGATAGGATGTCTTGCATGGCCGTTTGCAGATAATAGGATGATGGAATTGACCTTTTCCACTTACAACCTATGGATAATCGGGTGAATTTGGTGCTTCTAAGGAGAGCACGTCCCCTGACTCCGAAGCAAATGAGTGCAGACAATAGTGTTTATTCACCACTTCTGGGTAGCGACTCTTATCTATGGTTTGTTGTGGATAGTAGGATAAATTTAGTGCCTGTAACGACTTCTATAATCATGATGTAAAAACATGAGGATCATCATCCTCATCAGCAGTAACGTAACTATAGCTTGGTGATATTCATCATTGCACTACTTTCTTAACGGAAATGGGAGCAGCAGCAACAGCATAACAGGGCTTCCTCTCGCCCGTGTAGTAATGTGGATAATAAGTTTAATTTGCTGCTTGATTCCTGGTATCTGTGGTTTGAACATGGATAATGAAATTAATTAATTCGCACATGATCGGAATTTCTGTGGATGGATTCCGTGGCGCATGCAAGAGGGGGGAGCGCATGTGTCATTCTTTCCCTCGGGCAAGGTGGCCCATGCCTGTGACGCAGCAACTTTGTCGAGGTTGTTGAATCGCACGCAGAGTTTTCATCCTGTCCCGTGAAATGTCCGGTCCACGGGGTTGCGGGGGTGTCCAGGAGGCTGCATCGCACCGAAAGTGGGTCAAGTGACCCATCGGAGCCGATATTTGTTCCGAGTGTTCTAACAGCTGCGTAATCCGGCTCGTGCATGCATGTGGGATTTTCTTCGGGTGTTCCCGCATCGTCATTTTTTTTTTCACTGCGCAAAAAAAAAACTCGGTGGCGGGGGGGGGTGTGGGAGATTTTAAGTACGTCTTTGCGGAAACATTTCCCAGAAACCTATGAAAAAAAAGCCAGTTCGACCGCTGGCAAGAACATCGTTCTCCTACCCACTCATGTTCGTTTTATTGTCTTTGGTTGTGATGAAGGACACGGCCTGGAAGGCTGCCATCGTGCAGCCCTGTCGAGCAGCACCTTGTTATATAAAGGAAAAAAGCCGCGTGTGTGAATTATTTAAAACTGGTTTGTCTGTCCCTTTTGTAATGAGCTCCGCACAGTCATCGCAGCTCTATTACATCAAGTCTTGTTACTGCTGATGACGTGTACAGCTTTGAAAAGCAAGTCTTTTACACAAGTAAGCGTACATATTAATTTAGAGCTCTCTATGAGCAGCGCATCCCTCGGTGTTGGATAACGGCTACCAAATGTAGACATCATCACAAATATGCTGTGTTTGAGGTGCCTTCAAGTGACATTTTATCCACAAAATTGGGAAAGGACTCTTCCATCTACCCTGCTACAGAGTTTTGTTGCATGGCGGTCCAAGCAATATTAAAACACATTCCTGCTGCGGGAGCTGGTAGGAACGTGGATTGCTCGGTCAATGGCCAGGGTCAACGGCGGCGTGGTGTATTCCGCAAATATGCCCGACTGTGGGCGGGCACAAGCCGGCGTGAGTAGGTTAAACGTTGAGTTTTATAAGGGCACCACGGGGGGTGACCAGCACATCCCCACCCAGCCCCTCCTCACCCAGCCCCACCCTCCCCTCCCCACCCAGCCCCTCCCCTCTCCACCCAGCCCCACCCCTCTCCACCCAGCCCCACCCCTCCCATTTTTGGATGCACGACGGACGGACACAATAGTCCCCTGTGGGCTGGTGGAACCAGGAGGTTCCTACCAGGACAACGAATAAATATATGCATATGCATGGCTTCTCTAATGCTTTGGCCAAAGAGGCAAAAAAAAATTCTGGGTATTGGGTAACCCTTTGATCAGTCTGCCTGGACAAGGCCCTAGCAGAAACAACACTTCATACTACATTTGTATTCCTGTTGCGTGATCGCTACGAGAATTATAGTG